TGCCTTTTAATTTTACTGCTCCCTCCTTGGTTGAATTCTTGACAGCACAAAAATCAACAGAATTAGGACTGAGCCTCAGTCCCCTTGAGTAATGTCTATAATATCCACAGCCAGGAGAGGGAAGAAGGTCGATTCCATGCCTGGAGATGCTACCTCATCCTGGGAGAACCTCTTAGCTGTGGCATGCTCAGAGACCTCTCAGCTTGATGGAGACAGCGGCATGCAACTACCCTTGCCCCCACCTCTAGGTCCACAGCTATTAGGGGAGAACCTGGAAGAGCTTCCACGCTGGAGGCTCTGAGCAGATTAATGCCCGATGCGTTCATGGGGTGTTATTGCCAAACATGCTGCTCCTTGTAATGAAAAATGGGCCCTGTCTACTCAACAAAGAACGAGGCATTGGCGTAACAGTGCAGGAACCTATCTTGCTACGTAGTGCTTATGCAGTACTTGCCGTCTCCCACGGACATTGCAATGTGCAGTTACCCATGTAGAAGAAGCCTCATGTCTTTATTCCTGACAGCTGTCAGTCCCTGGAAAACAATCCCTTCCCTCCCTCCTCCTGGCATCCGTAAACCAAGCTGGAAGGCTGGGAGCACACGAGCAGGGAAGGAAATCTGCCAACTTCGTCTTTCTCCCTCTCGCTCTCTCTTTAGCTGCCTGGGAGGGAAGTTGCAGGAAAATAATGAAATAAAAGCCAAGGCCCAGAGAAAGCTGATTCATCCACAGCCCAGGGCCAGCGGCCGGCTCCAAGCAGAGCTGTAAAATCAATCTGTCACTGCTCACCGCAGTATAGATCGGCAGAGAGATTCTGACTGCAGCGAGGGCAGAGCCCAGCCTTCTCCCGGGGCCCCGTTTTCCCCGGCTGTGGGACCCCGGTGTATCCCTGGGGGAGACGGGCAGGGGAAGAGGCAGAAGGGCTGATCTGCTGGTTCCAGGAGCTGGAAAGGCTCCCAGTGAGACTCCCGTCCCTGGCAGCAGACACCGAAGGCAGCGCAGGCAGACTGCGAGGCTGCCTTCCCTGCCTGACTCCCCCCTCCTCCCGCAGGCAAACGGCACCGGGTCCAGGTGATGGGGAAGAGGGGGGAATGGCTGTCTGCTCTCCCAGTTCCTGTTCCCCAGAGGTACCATCCATGCTGAACATTACCTCCAGCGCTCCCCAGTCTGGGCACAGAGGGTTAAAAATAATTTTTTTCATCACCTTTGTGACTCCCAGATTCTGGGCTATTCCGGGACTTAAAAGCTCCCTGGCATATGTTGGAATAACTCTAGGGAATTGCTCTAATAAGGTCAGCTCCCTTGTTCACCCCTAACAGCATCTCCAGTCTTAGAGGATGTAGCAGCCCAACAGAGCAGCAGCTGAGCAGAAAGGTGTAAACCAAGGTGGTTCTCAGGGCTGTTTCCATCCTCGTTAAGGGGGCAGAGAGGTCAGGCCTGGCTGGAGGGTGGTGGTCTCAGAGACATCAGCACAAAAGAATTAGAAGGTGCTTTTTCTTCTGCTGTGCTGGACATAGAGAGTGAGGTGCCTCTGCAGCTGACTTAAAGTATCTATGACGTCCTTAGGAGGCTTTTTTCTTGGTGAAGTTTTTTTTTTTTTTTTTTTTT